TTTTTTCACCTCAGTGTTTCTATTCTTATTCCATTACTATTGAAATACATATATATTACCAAAGCTGTAAATACATGTCTACAATAATCTCCCTGGTTTATCTTGTAAAGACGGATTCTTCAGCAAGAACCAGCATTTGTTAAAGCCTTGGAAATGTGAAAATGATATTCTGAAACAAGGGAGTAAAGTTTTGAACAACAATGTCCTTTTCAAATTGAAACAGCCAATGAAGAATAGCTACACTATACCTAGGTGGCTTTTCCTATGACAGGAATGTAAGAAGCAAGTCCAGCAACAGCTGACAAGGAGGTCAAAAAAGGACAGTTAGTTTTCTGGGCATCAGGGGTAAATATAACTACTGTAGTGCCCAAAAACAAAAGGTCAGCAAAATTAAACTCATGCAAGTTGTAGTTTTCTTGCCTCGCCCTCTTCTGCATATTTTTTCCAGGATGCAACTAATCAAGTAGGTAAAAGATACTAATTTGAAGAAAAAAATAAAAGAATCACATTGAAAAGAGGCAATTTGGACAACATGACTAAGCATTTAAACAAACTGAATAACATCTGGGTGAAAACAGTCTCAAGGGCAAGAACATTGGTTTCTGTTTAGTATTGGGTTTTTGTTTAGTAGAACAAGGAAAATGGATATAAGGTTTCATATGAACTAGAGAAAGAGTTTTATTCCATTTTCACAGCAAAAATCTTTGTAACTTTTAAAAATTAGTACAGAAGATTCAAAATGGAAATACTGCAAAGTGTGAAAGAAAAACTGAATTAAAAAAAAGGACCCTTACTATAATCACAGATGTCATGAAGAGGGAAAAGATGTAAACAATACATATATCTAATGATCATGTTGCCATCAAAAACTTTTAAAAAAATAAAGAATTCTTAACTCTTCCAACTAAATCTCCATTAATGAAAAAACTAGAGATTTTTTTTTCTCTAATCAGGATGACTGAAGCAACCAGTCTGATTTACATTACAGGAGAAATAATACGCCTTTGGAGAAGAAGCAGCCTCTGAAATCCTTCTCAGCTACGGACAAGCCAAAACTTAGAATGTGCATCAAAGAGTAAGGAAAAATAAAAATAAGCAAGCCACCAACAGTCTACATAACCAATAATAATTTGACAGCAAGAAAAAAAAAAAAAACCAAAACCACACAACACAAACCCTAGTAACATTCCACTTTGCCAAACACCCACAAAAAGATCCTGAACACATAAACTCAACAGAGGATACCTTTTCAAAAGAAGAAAAGGTACAATGGGGCTGGGCTTCCCTCACTAAATTTCAAAATCTCAGGCATCATCTAGAAGATGCAGAGACACAGGCAGGTAATGAATAAGTTACATACACTACCACACACCTCCCAGGTGTAAAGAGGAAGGTAAGAGAGCAACAAAATTACTTTCTCCTCCCACCATAAGTTCAACTCATGACCAGAGGACCCTGTTTCTGTCTCCAGTGTTTCCCCACCACCACTTGAACAAGTCAGAGAAGAGAGGGTGGGATTGTGAAATCCCAACAACCCTCTGCAATAAGCTCATTGCCACACTGACCTTTCCCCTTCAACTTTACAGAAACAGCTTCCTCCTGTTTCCAACTAATGCAGTTAGCCCCGAGCTCAAGCTCTGCTTCTGCCTGGAACGTTTCAGTGCCACTGACATGCAACTATAATGATCCTGCCAGCATGTGTGACAGAATTTGTTTTTGCCGTAAAGATATAATATTGTTTAGGTTCAAAGAAAAGCACTCACAAGTCAGAAAGTTTCCTGTGCAACTTTAATTCATCCCCTGGTGTGTTTATTCCCATTATCGCCATGTTTAACTGCGGGAGCACTTAGTATGTTTTCCAGTAGGACCCCTACTTGTTCAGCGTAGTGGGTGGACAGTACTCCAACAATCAATCAAGGCTAAGCAGGGATAAGGAAATCCAGATGATTGCTCTTCCACCTGTTGCAGAAGTTGGAAATAGTAGGCAAAAAGACCAAGGAGAGGAAGAACACCACAATATTTAGAGGCTTTGTATCTGCCACTGCCTCACTGCTATGCAGCAAAAAAAAAAAAAAAAAAAGGGTGCTTGTTGCTGGACATTAACTGCATGTTCTCAACAGAACCTGATACAAAGAAGTGCCTGGCACTCATAATGGCCGCTGAATATAGACGTCCAACTCACACTATTTTCTGGAGAAACTAGCAGTGTGGAGGCAGGTGAATTTGAATTCTAATTCTGTTCCATCATTGATTATTTTTTGTGACCCCAGATCACATCTTGTTTATTACACTAATTTTACCGACGGGAAAACAATATTCCCTCATCTCAAAGAGCTGGCTGAATCAATACTTGTGAGCCATTAAAATAATACATTAAGAAGCACCCTTGCAAAAGAGCATGCAGAAATTAATAACTATCTACTCACTGTAGTCTTTGTATTGTATAAGGGTTGCTTAATGAATAGTAAAGATATTACAGAGCTCCCTTCCTTCCTCCATTACCATACATCTTCACTACATGAACAGCTTGAGCAAAAAGAAGCAGAAGACTGAATAATTAAAGATTACGAGAACCTAAATGTATCAGTGAAAGAACTGCTTACACAGCCTGAATTACTCTAGCTCCTAACTTTCACACATTTGACCGGTAACATAAAACAAAAAAAAACCCAAAAAAAAAGGGGGGGGGGAGGAGAGGTTACACAAACTGTAAAAAGTAATGCCATATATTCTTAAAAAAGGAATCAGGTTACTGAATTTTTACACTGTATAACCATAATTATCATTACATTTGTTTCCTTTTGACAATTCCACAAGTAAGGATTAAAAGTTATGAACTATTAGTTGTTCCTCACTGCCCCTTCTCCACCCTGCTAGATTTCTGCTTACTGCATAATTAGTCATAAAATT